TGGTGGCAGAGAAAGGCTGAGCAGGTGGAGCGCTATGCAGACATGCATGCCACCAGAGAGTTTTTCAGTGCCAAAAAGTCAGTTTATGGCCCTTCTAAGTCAGGATGCTCCTCTTGCTGTCATCTGATGGGTCGACCCTGGTCAAAGACCAGAAAGGACTGAAAAACCACTGGGCTGAACACTTTTCCAACCCACTCAATAGGCAGTCCACAGCTGATCATGATGTTTTACAGCAGATTCCTCAGTGGCCAGTCTTGGATGCCCTAGACCTGCCTCCCTCTACGATGAGATCAAGAAAGCGATCTCACAGATGAACTCAAATAAAGCAACAGGACAGGATGGCATTCCTGCTGAGATCTACAAAGCACTGGAAGCAGACACATTACAGAAGTTCCAAGACATCTTGGAAGACATCTGGTTCACATTGTGGCTCTCTACAAAAATAAGGGAAGCAAATCAGATTGCAGAAACTACAGGGGTATCTCATTGTTGTCCATCGCAGGCAAGATTTTTGCCTGCATTCTCCTGAACAAACTTGTCAATGTCTTGGAAAGGAACTTCCCAGAGATGCAGTGTGGCTTTCGGCCAGAACAAAGTACAGTAGACATGATATTTGCCATGAGGCAAGTCCAGGAAAAGTGCATCGAGCAGAACAAACCTCTTTACTCTGTCTTTGTTGACTTGACAAAGTCATTTGATACTATAAACAGGGAGGCTCTCTGGACCATCCTGAGACATTATAGATGCCTAAGGAAATTTGTGAAATTGATTCAGCTACTCCACAACGGGATGACAGGACAGGTCCTTTACAATGGGGATGCGTCAGCTGCATCTGCCATTTCCAATGGGGTAAAGCGGTTGTGTGTTAGCCTCGGTCCTGTTCAATCTGTTCTTCGCTTGCATGTTGTCACATGCTGCCCAGGTTCTGAAGGAGGGAGCATACGTCAGGTACTGACTGGATGGCTTTCTCTTTGACCTTCGCTGCTTGAACGCATGGACAAAGTGTCTCCATACAGTCACCCAAGAAACCCTCTTTGCTGATTACTGTGTGCTCCTGGTGCACAAAGACAGGGATCTACAGCTGATCCCAAACATATTCTCAGACACTGCTATGCTCTTCGGCCTAACTATCAGCCTGAACAAGACTGAAGTACTTTACCAGCCTGTGCCAAATACCAACCTGGTAGATCCAAAAATCGCTGTTGATGACACCCAGCTGACAAATGTAAACGGCTTCAAATACTTGGGAAGCATCATCTTGAGTGATGGGTCTTTGGACAAAGAAATTGACTCCAGGATCAGTAAGGTCAGCCAGGCTCTGGGGTGGTTGTACTAGAGTGCTCAATCAATACAACTTCTGTATCTCCACAAAGCTGAAAGTCTGTCGTTATCCCTTCTCTTCTATATGGATGTGAGTCCTGGACTCTGTACAGATGACACATCAAACAACAACGGTACATCATTTTATAAAAATTCTCTTTAAGATTATAACAGTGTAAATTTCAGCCCTTTCAACCACATATTTTCTCATTTTCCATCTGTGTATTATAACAAAAATTTTTAGCCCACTTTACCATACATTCTTTCACTTGCTCTTCTTCTGTTTCAAATTTCAATAAGGCCCTGCAATAAATTCCCATTATGTGTGCAAATATATTTCTCCAGATTCAGTAACCCATCCAACATACTGCAAAAATCATCTTGTACTTATGAAATAACATCTTAAGCTGTTCTCTTAATTTCATGATAGAAAGAATTCTAATAGAAGACAACGTATGTATGGTAGCTCAAGGCTGAACTGCAAGCATTGATGATGTTATCTAGCTTGGTAATGAAACATCTGCAAGAAAAAAACCAAGCTCAGAGAGCACCAAGAACCCAACTTCTGGAGTTCTAACAGGACCTAAATAGGTGTTTTCTCCCAAAGAAGCACCTCTGGGTAAAACTAGTTGATTATGCTGTATCCCTTGCATGGGATTCTCATGCAAGAGGAGCTGAAAGCCAGTGTGATCAATAAAAGCTTTATTGAAGGTAAATACTTACAGGACTATACATGCAATGCTCCTTTGTGATGGACAACGGGTATATATGCTGTGTTCTGCCATGGCACATCCGTACCAAGAACTAGTTTATAAAGTTTTATAATCATCATGCTAAGTGTTCATTGATCTTATGAGCAAAACAAGTTGCCAGTTAAAATTTGTGAAAAACAGGCTTATTAGTGGAATCCTTTTCCTCCGAAATCCTCATCGTGCATACCTAGATTTGGTCTGTGCCTTGCTGTGCATTTACAGCTTTTATCACTAAAGTTTATGCAGTGGTTAAACATGGTGTCAGCCTGGTTCACTGTATACAGACTGTATACAGGAGAGACTGTCTATGCTATTTATTTAACAGCTGAAGGACTCTTCGAGGTGCAGCCCAACAAAGATCAGGTTGGATATGCTATATGCAATTTGGAAATTCCTTTAGCTGGTTCTTACCATAGAGAGTCTGAGGCAAGCTCAAAGTGACTCATAGACACCACCACAGAGTTTTCTTGGCAACAAAACACCATACAATCCTATTCCATTTTTACAGATGAGGTATAAAGATCAGGAATTACCTAAAGCTGCCATTAGCATCACGGAATATTGAGTCGAATGGGACCTCACCTTCACCTAATCTAGCCCCTGATCAGTTCAGGAACCCACTAAATCATCCCAGATAGGCTGACATCCAGTCCCCATTTTTAACCTTCACACTGTCCACCACTCTTCCAGTCTGTTGCGCTGTTTATATTTTTTGGTCAGTCATTTCTTCTAGTTCTCTAGCCTGAATCTACTTTCTCACTTTTAACTACTTGGTCCTTATTCTACTCTTCATTTCAAGAGAGAACAGATCTATTCTGTCTTGAGTGTGACAGCCTCTTAGATATTTTTAGACCATAGTGATATGGGCCCTAGGTCTTCCCTTTTAATTATATTTATTTTATTTATTAGATGTATATATAGTATCCTACTTTTCCATCAGGATCTCAAGGTGGTATATGGAACATTTCCTCTTTTTCCCCCCCACAACAACAATCTGTGGAGTAGGCTGGTATAAAAGACAGAGACTGTCCCAAAGTCCCTAAGTGGGCTTCTGTGGTTAAGACTGTCCTTAAACCACTCCTTTTAGCCATTCCCTATGCATGCTCATCTCCTTTAACCTTCCTCAAAGGAATTTTAAACCCAAGTCCTTAGCCCAAAGCAGTAGGCAATTAATTGTTCTGACTGTTGTGTACTTTCTTCACTTCTTCCCTGAAGAACCTCATCATCCCCACCTAATCATTGAAGATGGTGCCATGACTTATCATGAATATGAGGCACACCTAAGGAACCGCTGGGATTATGCTCGGATTGCCAAAAAGGATAGTGATGGAGAGAGACAGGTGAGTGGTTGGGAAAGGTATTTCTTCTCTGGGCCATGCAAATATGGTGTAAAGATAGATGTAAATGATCAGGATACACCAGCAGTAGCGTAGACATTTGCTGTATTGGGGTACTTTCGTATGGGTTATTTGTATGGCTCCACCCCCAAACTCATCTGTTGTCCTCATCTGGGTTCATAGTTGAGCTGATTTATTTCTGATATTATGTCAATGGCAGAATATTTGATTTCAAATGAGAAGTAATATTTCCATTTGCAGCAACAATGATCTGTGGAGTATATGGGTGGCCTGTTTTCCCATTGGTAGAAACACTTGCTGATCCTACCTCCCAGCTCCTGGGCTTCAGTTGATACAACAGTCTATTCAGAGGTCCATAAAGGGGCAAGGAAGCTTGATGGCTTCATGGGTCCCCCTTCACAACAGTTTTGATATTGTTGTTTTCCTCATACAACCTGACAAATGCACCCACCCTTGCTGTTGACACTTTGAAACACAGTGGGATTGATCAAGACGAACCTTTGATGGCGAACCTTTTGGACTCGGGGTGTCCAAAATTCAGAAAATGCCTAACTTGGCTCTGCTGGCATGTTCCCCACACCCCAAACAAAAGAGAAACAATTCTTTACATATTCATTTATTTTAAAAAAATACCATCCAGTCATGTGTGGTGCTATGTATTATATAAAGAAATGTCAAATAATTACAAAAATGAAATACGAGTAAAACAAACTCAGTTTCTTTGGTAACTCAAACAGGGAGAATAGATGTTGTTGGGTGTTGTTGAATGCTGGCATGTCACCCAAAACATCATGGCGTGTCACCTTTGACACGCATGTCATAGGTTTGTCATCATTAAGACTGTTGTTACGCTTGTAATTGTCCCACATGCCCAATAGCCCAGGCCAAGGAAGCTGGGGTAAAAATGACAGATTGTGCATTCATTTCCCCTTTGGTTCCAGTTGCTGCTATTTTCCAGGAGACAATGTCTCAAAAATGGAGGAGGGGGGTACAGACACTCTATTTTCCTTTTGTATAGGTTGGGGGGATTTACGCTGATCTCTCTTCTCGCCCTTCTCAAGCACTCCTTGCAACCCTACTAACAATGTGGCCAGCTTAGAAACCAATGTGATCTAAAGCATGTATGAGTTCTGCAGAATTAGAACCACATTTGACTGCCTGATGTATCTTGTTGGGAAGACTAGGGATAGGCTGGGAGGGGAGAAAATGAGAAAATTAAAGGAAGTGTCTTGCAGTGCCAATGAATACAATCAGAAAGGGCTAACATAGAGCGTATGTGTAATACATATAGACACCGGTGGAAAAATCCTTCTGGAACTACCTCACATTGGAAAGCACATGGAGGAAATATGATTTAATTTTTGGGTGCTGGTGCCACAGTGATGAAAATGCTTCTGAAGTAGAGCAAGCTTCCTCAAGATTGAATTTCAGGTGTTGAGTTAAAATGCATTTTTTTTTCTGCTAGGCTTTTGAGACTTATCAATATTGCTGTAATGTACACATTGCTCACATTACAGATGGCTTGATTCTTAGCCTGTGTTTCTATGGCCACAGATATTTTTAATATTGATTGCATTTTGCATTTTTAGCATCTCTCTTGGGGTAATCCAAAAATACTGTGAAGAACAAATGTTTCCTTATGATAAAAACTCCTTACCTCCACATTTAATCTAGCTTTTTCTCTAGCATGTTAGATTATAATGTTTTCCCTTCAGAATGATTACTTAGTTCCATCCAGGGATAAGTCTTTCAATGCCCATTAGCCATGATAACATAAATGGCAGATCCTCTATATTAAGGTAAATACAACTCCCCAAAGTAGATGATTGAAATAAAGATGTAAATTTCCAAGAGGCAACTGGAAGCATGCTAGGCTCGATGGAGTTTCCCTGATGAAGCCAAGAGATTTTGATCCTTCAGAAATGCCCAAAGCTGGAAAGCATGACTGTATCAGCAAAACAAAGTTTCAGGTTGTGAGACCTCCTTTAAAGGACTTCTTTTCTCTGCTCCTAGGTTGCCTTTGTCCAGAAGAGGTTCCACAAAGACATTTTCTACAATCCTGTCCTGATGCTGAATTTCTGCCCCAAGATAGGCAGCATTTCTACTGACATTCAGACTGTGACTCGGGAGATGCTCTTCCTCATTGACCAGACTGGAAGCACAAGTGGCTCCAGCACTGATGGGATCAAAGTAAATGGAATCTTACATTAGTGCAGTGTTTCTCAACCTTGACAACTTGAAGATGTGTGGACTTCATGCTGGCTGGGGAATTCTGGGAGTTGAAGTCCACACATCTTCAGGCTGTCAAGGTCGAGAAACACCGCATTAGTGGCACATGGGAACCTGTGTTTTAGAGAGTCAGACCATTGAGTAAAGACATCCTTGAGTTGAGTTCAACTCCAGGTGACTGTATCCACACAGTTCTCTTAGCAGCATTACAGAACTGATTTCCCATTGCCTTCTTCCTGGAATGAATTAATCTGATTTCATTTTCATGCATTATTTAATATAGTTAATATGATTATTCCCCAATCATGTATTCAATAATTTATCCCTTCTGTCATATTACAGTTACCACTTAATGACAAATTTTGGAAGTTCTCTTGTGGAATATTAAAAGCTTGGAAGGAAAATGTCCCAGATGGACCATCTTAGACATGTTCTTTTTTCATACTAACTATGATAGGGCTTTTTTCTAACTCAGAAGTAAGTCTGAAGGACTTGGTCTGGATTGTGATTTTGAATGCTAATGTGAGGGTAAGGTCAATTTTCCTTGGAGCTGAGCTTCACACCCAGTTTTCTTGGCAACAGTACAGAGGTGCTTTGCCATTGCTGGCTTCCATGATGTTTTTTCCAACATCTCTGCCTTTTCTGATAAGCCCCCCTTCGATTACTAGCCAGGTTTGGCCCTACCTAGCCTTATGAGGTCAAGCAAGGCAGCTGGGTGCTGCCATATGACATGGAATTTAAAAAATAATTTGTCTCTGGTAAAGTATTTTTATCTCCCTCACTTTGTCGTCAGAAGGCACTGCATTAGGTGAGTGCTACAGGATGAGGGTTGCATAGCATAAAGGGAGACCCAGGTTCTAGTCCTCCTTCAGCCATAGAAGCTTACTGGGTGACTCTGAGACAATCCCTCTTTTTCAGCCTAAGAATCGAGTGGTCTAGTGGTGAAGGTGCTGGACTAGGAGTGGAGAGCCCTAGGGACTTTGGGCCATTCCCTCCATCTCAGTCCAAGGGCCAGTGTAGTAAAGTGGTGAAAATGGATTGGTACCAGGAAGATTTAGGTCTCCCCTCACCCACAGAAGATCTCTGAGTGGCTTTGGGCTAGTTGCTCTCTTTCAGCCCAGTGTACTTCACACGGTTGTCATGATGGAGGGTACATGGGAATGCTATGGATGCCACCTTGAGCTCCTGGAGGAACAGCGAGAAATAAATCTAATAACAGATAGTAACCTTGACTTTCTATCTCTCCTCTCCAGGATGCTCTGCTAGTAGCAATAAAGAGCCTTCCTTCCAGCAGCTTGTTCAATGTTGCAGGCTTCGGCCCCAACATCAAGCCTGTCTTCAAGACGAGCAAGCCTTGTAATAATGTGAGTACACAGCCCAAGGTGGCAGAACTATCCCATGGCTGACCTGGCATTAATTGAATCTGGGCAGAACTCCGTGACTGTTCCAGGAGAGCCTGGATCAGCCGGTTGCTGCTGGCTTGTTACTGTTTATAGGAAAAATGGGCTGCCCCATTGCAAATCTTCTCTCTCACCAGCTGTGAGATTATAACGATCAACCTTTTGATCGTTATAATCAAATCCTGTGGGTAACTTTGAATTCTGTGCCTTGATAAATTCAGTTCGCTGGCTTGTGCATATTGGGCAAAGTGTAAAAGTACTCTAGTTTGGCTTCATTTGTTTTGGAATGAGCAGGTCTAGTGTTCTGGTTCAAGGTAGCAGGCACAGGTGCCAAGGAGCAGAAGCAGGTAACAGCAGACAAGTTGTAAATCAAAGACTTACCAAAGCACTGTTTGCAATCTGAGAAGTGAAAGAGTAATCTAGTTACAGTGCCAAAAGTCACAAAGCCAAATTGGGTAGTCAGCCAGTCCAGAAGTCAGGAATTCAAGAACAGGATACACACAAGACATGAGCTGGGTCTTCAAATGGTTGTTTTCCAACCGAGAGTGAAGGCAAAGCAAGCTACGTAAATCTCTCTGCTGGCAGACGGCTGCAATTATTCAGGCCTCACCCTTTGCCTTGCGAGGAGTCTCCTGGATTGATGCTGCTCTGCTCGCCTCTGCGTGTGTCTGGATCTGGGGCTTGGGCGTCATGCCTCATCTTCTGACTGCTCCAGCTGTCATACCTGTGGCTGATCAGCCTCAGATGCATCACTGCTTAATGATTGCTGAGGCTGACATTCCACAGGCTCAGCTGGAGCAACATTGTCAGAGTCAAAGTCAGACTCTGAATCGTGGCTCATGACATCTAGCAACGGGCTAGAATATAAAGCACGATCCCTTGAAATTCCTGTTCAGTTATGCATGTCCGTCCTTTTGCGATCATGTCAGCCAGTGCCTGTGTAATCAGGTTAACCTTTGGAACTGTAAATGCCTGTTTTAAAACAGAGAAATGCTGAACATTTGCAGAAACGTATACAATTCTGCTTAGTATAATCTGGCTGATTTAAAAAAAAAAGCCAGCTGGGTGACCTTGGGCCAGGCACTCTCTCTCAGCACAACTCACCTCACAGGGTTGTTGTTGTGGAGAAAAGAGGAGGAGGAAAGAGTATTAGGTATGTTTGCCGCTTTGAGTTATTTGTAAAAATAATAAAGATGGATAAAAAAATCTTTAAAAAAAAGCTAAGCAGGAAATGGTCTGTGATGAAGTAGTCTATATATGCTGGTCTATGACTGTTATCAAGATTGATTTGATGTTTCCTTTATGGCAACAGTTAACTGCCTTGGGCTACCTGTTGCCACCTCCTGCCTTTTGCTTGCAGACCCCAGAACTGCCCACAAAACTCCAAATTCCAGCCACTAAAGTAGAGCCCCGATAAAACTGAAAATTCAGACGTTGTCTTCATTCACCATACAGCATCACCGCTATGCCCTCAGAGACCAGGAAGGCCCCAAATAAGGGCAGTCGCTGTCTGTCAACAGTTGCCTGACCTACTTTACTGCAAGAATCTGGGTCGATCTTTATACTGTCTCAGTAAAGTTTGTTCTTCATCTCCGCAGGACACCCTTAGGCTGGCCTGTGAATATGTTCAGAAGCTACGGGCTGATGGGAGTGGGACCAGCCTCCTTGCTGCTCTGAACTGGAGTTTGGGACAGCCTCTCCACCGGGGATATCCGCGGCAGCTCTTTATCTTTATGGATTCCAGCGTAGAAAACCCAGGCAAGATTATCGAGCTGGTCAGGAGGCAAGCCAGCACTGTCAGGTACCAAGTTGTGTGAACTAGCCTCAAACTTTGGGCTTTTCTGTTCCCAGGCTATAAATGTACCTGCCCAGATTTCTGGCCATAGAACCACCCTGGGGATGAGAAATGTCTGCATCGTGGGCTTTAGCCCACAGGCACCTGCCAGAAACAACTTACCTGTTGTCCTGTTTCAAGGTAGCAGACACAGGCGCCAAGGAGCAGAAGTGGGTAACAGCAGACAAGTTGCAAAACAAAGACTTAGCAAAGCAAAGCACGGTTTGTAGTCTGAGAAGCAAAAGAGTAGCCTAGTTACAGTGCCAAAAGTCACAAAGCCAAATCGGGTAGTCAGCCAGTCCAGAAGCCAAGAACTCAAGAACAGGATACACACAAGACATGAGCTGGGTCTTCAAGTGGTTGTTTTCCAACTGAGAGTGAAGGCAAAGCAAGCTATGTAAATCTCTCTGCTGGCAGCTGGCTGCAGTTATTCAGGCCTCACCCTTTGCCTTGCGAGGAGTCTCCTGGATTGACGCTGCTCTGCTCGCCTCTGTGTGTGTCTGGATCTGGGGCTTGGGGGTTATGCCTCGTCACCTGACTGCTCCAGCTGATCAGGAGATACCTGTGGCTGATCAGCCTCAGATGCATCACGGCTTAATGATTGCTGAGGCTGACATTCCACAGGCTCAGCTGGAGCAACATTGTCAGAGTCAGAGTCAGACTCTGAATCGTGGCTCATGACACCTACAGCTCAAAATGTACTACCCTGAAAGCTTGTAGAACCAATTTGGTAGACATTGAACAGGGATCTTCCCCCCAATATATGGGTACTGAGTACAATGGAGTACACTTTCAAACCACTCCACATGGATGTCTGCAGGGGAGGATCATAATATCACACAAATGATGCAAAGTATGTCACTGCTGTCAACTGTGTGAGACGGCTGTCACACAAGACATAATCTGCATCATTTGTGTGATGCTGTTGTGATGCACGTGATGTCATTGTGCACCCCCATTCAATCAATTCATGCCTGAAGAACAATTGGAATTAAGAAGTCACAGCATCGACTCAGACATGATCCTCTCTGAAGTGTAAGGAGAGATGAAACATTTTGCAGCAGTAAAGATGCAGCGTGACTTGACAGTATACACAACCAGCACAATTTAACATGGGATGAATCTCACTCCCATGAGAGTGGGAGTTCTGTCTCTGAAGTCCAGCCCTTTCTTTCTTACAGGTGTTTCACTTTTGGCCTGGGGTCTGCTGCCTCCCATCGGCTCCTTAGGGGATTGGCAAAAGTTAGCAGAGGCCAGGCAGAATTCCTCAGCCCAGGTGAAAGGTTGCAGCCGAAGGTACGGGCTCTTATTCTGTGGGAAATGCTGTTATTTTATCATGGGTTCAGAATCATGAAGCTTGGGTGGTGGGCAGTTAACCCCAGTCATCAGACCGTGCCCATCTTAGAGCATCAGCATAGGACTATGCATCAGCTGTGAGAAATGTTGTCTTCAGCATGTCACTGCTATTGCTGGAAGGCACGGAGACCACTTTCCAAAACCTATTTTGGCATCTGAGGACTGCAAGGGCTGTGCCAGTGAGAACATCAAAAGAGATGGGCCAAGCCACAGAGAGTTTGGGATGGGAGGAAGGCTACAGCAACATAGGTATGTTAAGTTCAGCAAAAACATGATACTCTTCCATTTGTCATCTTCTGGAATTTTCCTGGTGCTTCTTGAAATGTAAGCTTCTCCATTGGGAAGCTCCTTTCGTTGTTGCCCATGATACTTTGAGGTCCACCTGGTTGATGAGAGCTCAGCCTCTTGCATCTAAGTAAGTAAGTACAGTGTGAATCGTTGTATGTGAATGTCAGGTATCTCTGCTTTCCCCCAGCTGATAAAGTCTTTGAAGAAAGCAATTGAGCCAGCTGTGAGTGATATCACGATCGACTGGTATGTGCCTGACACCATGGAGGCCCTGCTGTCACCCAACGAGATTGCAGCCCTTTATCCCGGAGACCGCCTCATCAGCTACTGCACCCTTTACCACACTGCCAGCTTCCGGGACAAGAAAGCTACAGTTGAGCAACTGTTTCCTTAAAAAGTAGAGCTCTCCCATTGTGGGAAATCAGGCTGGTTTCCATCTTTGGTATCCAACATGCCCAAAGCCTTAGTTGGCCTATCACATGCTTGGGGAAGAGCTATTGCTTCTTTCTCTGTATTGGGATTTTTATTTCATGGCTGTAGGAATGTATTGTTTTTGGGTTACCATATTCCCTTAGGACAGAGAGCAAATATGTCGGAGCTTCTCTAGAGGATCTGCAGGATCAACGTGTCCATCCCAGGAGGAGGTAGAAGCACAGGAAGGAGCCCATCCACATTCAACTGGAGAGAGTCAAGATATCTGTAAGGTCCTTCATGACATTTCCCATGAAATATCCCTGAAGTTTTCACCTGGGGACACTGATGAGTCTATGAAGAGTGAGTACAGGCCTTGGAAGGCAATATTGAAATCCATTTTAGAGAAGGTAACAATTTGGAGGCTGGGGAACTGGGTAGAGCCCAGTCTAAAATGTACAGAATTTGCCGCAGAGCCACTGCCCTGGGGTGCACATTTTTTTTCCAGACGGAGGGCACATTGGGCCATGGAATGACATGCTGCAGGATCCGCATTCCAAAAAGTAATAGGATAAAAAAGACAAAGAGCCCCTGATGTAATCTTATGTCCACTTACATGACATTAAAATGAAACTACAGTGAATATGGTTACTCTCCATTCTGTATTCAATATTTTCCCTTTCTGTCACATTAAAAAGTATCGTGCCAATTTAATAAATGATCACATTAAAGCGAACATTGCAACCATGTTAATTCCTACTACTAACAATATCTGGAGATCTCCAGGGCTTGCATCCAAGGCTTCCTGAGACTAGAGGTGTCCCTGGGGCTTCTGTTTCTGTATCTCTGCACTGCACGGTGAACTACTCCTTCAGATTAATTAAGGTGCAGTGGGGGAAGGTGCTTTTAATAGAGCACACCTTTGCATAGAGGAAGACCTAATTCCCTTCCTGGCCTTTCCAGCTGAAGGGTGTGTAGGATACAAAATACCTTGCCAATTCCTCCATGCCAGTCAACCTAAACTCTTCTTCCTGGCAGGTGGAGATCCTGTGTCTGGAGGAGACATCTGGAAGCGGATTTACCAGCCCTCCTACATCCAGGAACAATATGTGCTTACTCACTGCTCAGTCAGCACCGACTACAGCCAGGGGTTGTGTCACAGCACTACCAGCAGTGAGTCAACCGGCTCCAGAGATGTACCTCCGGAGGAAGGCTCCTTAGCCCAGACTCTTGAAAACAGCTCTCAGCAAGGACAGAAGAGTGTGTCTCTCTGCAACTCTTCCACTAAGTCTGCTCCAATTCCCCAGACTCAGGCTGGGGCTGGGGCTAAGGTGTGGAACCCCAAAGCTCCTACATTCTCCACTTCTCCAGCACCTTGTGGAGATAGATCTACTTGAGTCAGTTGTGCAATTAACCTCTGGAGGGCTCTAATTCTTTCTCTGCATTCTGAATTAATTATCCACCAATTATGCTTGATGATGGTGATGATGATCATTATCATCACCCTTGAATCAAGCTCAATATCTAGTCGCTTCGTGGACAAAATCAAGTAGTTTTCATGGCAACAATACAGAAGTGGTTTGCCATTGCCTTCTTTCAGAGTCTCTTCAGCTGGTCTACAGATCTGGGATTCCCTGATGGTCTCCTATCCAAGTATAACCAGCTGCCTAACCCCCGTTAGTTTCCAAGCCCAGACAAGTTGGCCAGATGCTATCACCTACTAAGACATCTATTATTAACTCAGCATATAATTCAGAGATTTTTCTATCACCAGATTTCGAGTAGACCCAACAATGAGTCTGACTCTTCCTTAAACCTGCCTTGCTTGTTTTTAGTCAAAATGTCAACACCTCACTGTTCCTCTTTTTAGGTGAAGAGCTCTGCTCTGAGCGCTAGTCTACAAATGACAGTTACCATATGTATGACCCATCTGAAATACTACCTGCCCTAATATCCAATACAAATTGTTATGATATGTTTCTGAATTCACAGGGAAAGTATTTGTGCCAGCAGCGGCATGATAAATTATGTAAACATGTTAGGAATGGGCCACAGGAATGGGCCATCATACCAGGGTTTCTTCAAGTAGGACCTGATGCAAACATGGACCCAGCCATAGCATCTTCTCACAGGCAGAGAGAATGGAATTATGGGTGAGGGGTTGGAGTCTTTTGTAAAGGGAGAGCTTGGGCATCTACAGTTGCCAATGAGTGTGTCTTCTAGTGCTGCAATCCCTTGCTGGGGAAGATGTCACAAATTCTTCTTTCCCTCGATGGAAATATAATGTAGATTTATGTCATTGCCGTGTCATATATGAGACATTTTCTCTGGAGTTTTGCCCTTCCTGTAGTCTCAGAAGGATAATTATTCCCCAAAGACTTTGTACCTCACAAGGTAATGCCACTTGCTGAAAACCTTTTGGTATTTTCAGTGAGATGAAGGCAGCGAATGACGATCAAATCAAGCAAGAAGTTTTTATTTGTGAAACCAGATAACAATCAGAAGAGGGTCCAAAAGTTGTTTTATTGTGTTAAGGTAGAGCCAAACAATATTAAATAATGGTCCCTTAGGACTTTATTAATAGTTCTATAAGCCAGTCTTCTTGTCTTAGTGCCCTTTAGAACTGTAGCACACATCCTTCTACATCTGAATAATGATAGGCGTTGCAGTCCAGCACATCTGAAAAGTGTCAGGACTGGGAATGACAATGTCAGGTTCATGCCACAGACAGTCATGTTTAAAAGCTTCAAAACATCAGTCAAGAGGAAAAGAACATTATATCTGGGTTATATAAATTAGAACATTCTAGAAATGACCTTGAGTAGGTATCGTAAAGACTCCAAATCAAGCTTGATTCCTACTGAATGCTGTTAAAGAAGTAGCTTGTCATTGTCTTCTTCAGGGCTATTTTAAAGATTCCAGCCTAGTTTTCAATGATCTCCTATTCAAGCAGGGCAGATTCTGCTTAGCTTCTTTGATCAGCCAAGGCTAGATGCTACTACCTGCTGAGGCTCATTAGCATATTCTCATGATTTCACAAGGCTGGGGAAGAAAAGACCTAAGATGATGGCTCTTTTCCGATATGAGGCTTAGGGTGAATCTTTCCTCATGTGTATATCAAACCAGCAATGATCAATTGAATCTTCTTGATAAGTTCAACACTGGATCTGTATCAGGAAAGTCATTTTGCTTTCTTACATCACTTCCAGAGTTTTTCCCATCTGGACCCTTTTCTTTTCCCTTCTCTGAAGGTATCCATTGCCCTAAGCTCTGAAGAATTGGTGCGTAGGAAGAAAGCCCTGGCCCGGGCTGCCATGTCTGGACGTAGTTTCTCCTCCCCACATGGCGAGTTGGATGCCCATCGGTTGCGCCGGGCCCTAGAGAAAGTCTCTCAGAAACACAATCGATCTCTGGAAGGGAAGCTGGATGACATTGGGCCTGAGCTGCAGAAGATGCACAAGGGTGCTGCTGATTCCAGTGAGTGAAAAGGATAAAGAAAGTTGATGGACTTGGGTAATGGAGAAGAGCAGGATGATAAGGACAAGTAGGAAAGGCTGAGATTTGCACCAGCATGTAAAAGTAGAAAGTGTCAGGCCTAGCCCAAGGAACTCCAAGAGACAGTGCAAATTCAGTCCAGCTATGTTTATTAGCTACAACCTCTA